GATAGTCACAAATTGTTGTGATCTCTTCAGGCTCTGAAGAAAGCGACTCCGCCGAAACGTCAGCCTAATAAAACTTTTACAGAGACCTCGCGAAGAGTTAAAGAAAACAACTCAGCAACAGAACAGTTACGCAGAGGTTCATAGAAAGCCGTACGTGGAAGAATTAGGTGCCATTACTTACGCACTATGCCAGTTCAAACCCTACTTTTGCATGACCCAAGTCACACTTCACAGCGACCATGAGCCGCTAACTTACCTCTTGAATAAGAGTAAAACACACGGCAACCTAGCGCGTTGGTTCATCGAACTGCAGAGCTACATATCAAGGTCGTCCACACTAAGGGAGCCAAAAACAGCGTCGCGAGCGCGTTGTCTCGGGTTCACGAGGAACAGAACACCGTGCTGTGCCAGACCAGGAATTACAGGACATAATAGACCTTCCGCTCGGTCTCCAAGTTCAAGTCGAGTCAATTGAGCCCCCTCCTCCCGCCAGGGCTAGTCGTACCTTCGTTTGTGGCAGTCCAGAGCTTATAGATTTCCGTCAAGTGCAGCAGTGGGATGATTTTCTTCGCCTAGTATGGCTCGTTAAGATTGCGCAACCCTTACCGCCCACCATAAGCGACGAGCTTCGATCCAAAGCGACGGCAATGGCACTGCATACTCATCTGAATATCGATGGGTGTATGTACTACAAACCTCCAAAGCTCAGCGGTACCCAGTCTTTATTGCTAGTACCCCAAAAAATTTTCCGCTTACATTTCGACGCCCATCACAGTAGCGCTGTCTTTAGAGGACATACATTGGAAAAAGACTCTAGCTTAGCTCTTACGCGAATATTACTGGCCAACTATCCATTCTGACGGTCCGAAGAATGCCTCACCTGTCAGATGCAACGTTATCCAAAGCCCGCTTTCTGCGAACGTTTGATTTCTGTGCATAGCGATGCTGTATTTGCAAAGGTAGGTCTCGACCTTTGCGGCCCATTAAAGACCACGGAACGAGGGAATAATTATATCCTCAACATGGTATGTTGGTTTACACGATACGTTAACCCTACCCCAATACCAGACGCACGTGCGAATACCATTGCGCACGCCCTTCTCTCTGACAGCGTCCTCAAGTATGGCACTATGTCTGAGCTTGTCTCGTACCAGTCATCAAGTTTCACATCCCACTTCTACCAAGAGTTTTGCGACTTCCTTCATATTCAGCATAGATTTGCAATCCCTCACCATTCAATGGGAATTGGGGCAACAAAACGCACATTTCGCACATTCCAAACTATGCTCACTAAGTTCATCAACCTAAAGCAGGAGGACTGGGACTTATCCGTTCCTTGCGTAACTTTTGCTATAATACATCAGTGCACGAAGCATTGGACGAAACGCCCTTTCTCCTTATGTTTGGGAGAGACCCGATGTATACCATGGACCGCATCTTACTCCCGCAAACCAGACCTCGGATACCCGGTCCATCCGGAACTGAGGAGTTTAGACACAACTCGTATCCGCTCTCCACTTAGCATGGAAGCAAGCCGCGTAACATGCGCGTATCCACAAACTATCGATGGCAGCACAGTACGACAAAGCAGCGCGCCTGACCCAAAACAAAGCAGGGGACCGAGTGTTCTTCCGCAACTATACTAGCAAACAGGGACTCGCGCGGAAACTTTGCTTTCCATGGATTTGACAGCTCCGAGTCCTTCGCGTTGATCCATCCACGCCACTATATTAAGCATCATATCTCCGCAGTCCAAACCCCGCCGGGTGCACCTCAACCATTTCAAAAAGGTAATCAACTACAGCGGACCTGCATCAACACTTCCTACCATCCCAGAAGAGGAATCCTTTATCAACGAACTTACCACCGACGATATATCAGGCCATCATCATGACTTGACGCGAACTTCACCGACCACACCACAACAGGCCCTAGAGGATTCTGCTCCTCCCACACGATATAACTTGCGACCGCGGAATCACGACAGGTGGTTTCTTCATCTCTCCATATCATACTGACTTTCAGTCATCTACCTTCAGTGACTCTTCAATGTCCACTTACCCACGCACTCATATCATCGTGCCCACTGTGTCACATACCATACCCTATTAACCTATCGCTCCATTAACCATTTCTACTTCCTCCGCTTCGACTACTTCACCACAGGCCCTTCCACTTTCTCGTTCAACGCCTTCAAATTTAACGCATGCTATGTCGCCTCGTAACGTATTTCAACTTCACTTGATCTTCCGATACTCACACCTTGCCGGTAACATGTCTGGCTCGCCCGCCAAAGATACGCCCCGTTTTGAAATCGCTTATGCCCTCGATTCCCAGAGCGTCACCACTTCACGGTCATAACAGTATCAGAACCTCCTAGCCTACAATGCGGTATCGTCTTTTACTTTCACTGTCGTTATAGCACGACACACTAACCGTTTACATGACAATGCCTAAATTTAGATGACAATGCCTAATACATTCCAGATGACCAACGAACTCTAGAGCAGTCTGATACCGACGAACTTATGGATCAACTGCCGCTCGAAGAGGCATTCCATCTCCTGTACGGCGAGAAGGATGCGCCAACTACAGACGACGAGCGTCCATCTGAAGCTTCGCCGCAGCCTAATCAGCCCATTACCTCCCCGGAGGAATCGGCGACCAATAACAATCACAGTGCTGGAGACAACTCAAAATCACAGAAAAAGAGCGATCCGCGAACATCGCGCCTGCCTCATCCGGAAAATATTATGGAGTCCACCCATCAGTGCGGTCAATCTGTTATTTCACAGGAAACTGCGATGGGGGATGAACCCACACCAAGCCACGTACGCCAACGCACCTTCAAAATACCCTTTTAAGATGAAAAAATCGAGTTTGAAATCGAGCAGTTCGTTAATTACCTTTGGAGCCACCTCCTCACCTCTGAAATACGCCCCAAGGTATCACCCTATTACGATCCCTAGTTAACTGCTTCAAAATTCGAGCGCTTCACCACAGCAGGTTATAGCCGGTTGTCATCGTTCATCGAGCATAGCGTCGCCTAGACCTCGAAAAGTCACCTGGCGATCGTCCTTGAAGCCGTCGCACCGCAAGCCGTAGAAAGTTTCGCCAGCGTCACCTTTATTCAGATCTATATCGGACGCGTATTGAAGGCAGGGATTACCCCCCCCCCCCCTTGCAACTGCGGAAACGGCGTCCGCACGCGAAATGCTTAGTTATGACTGGGGGTTACGAATCCACAGATCCACAGAGGAATCCACCCAGTGTTGTACCGCGTAAAATCCCTTTTGGTACGGGGCGCGCCTCGAATCTTTGCACATGGAGGTCCCCTTACCCGATCGCATGGACCTCCACACCGTCATGCTCGACCAACACTCCGTCAATATCTTCGCCGGAAAACATCTTACTGTCTTCCACATTTTGATTGGTGACCTCGTATGGGTATACATCCGACTACCGTCCACCAAGTTCATGAAAGAAGGCCTCCCTTACCCAGAAACCGTAGAAAAAGCGAGTCACTACCGCAAACCTACCATATGGCGTGAGGACAAATTTGCTCTTATTTCCCGAGATCCTACTGAGACACTCGAATACGTCGTTTCTGTCACACTGCAAGCTCAACAAGCTTTTCAGGTTCGTATGAAGGGCCACCGCACCTTAGTCAGGGCGAATAAAAATCGTCTCGACCCCCACGTAGAGTTCGCGCGGCTCCGTCCCAATACGTTCATCACCGCGGACTTTCGTCCACGTTAAGTGGATTACATGCTTTTTGTATGTACCCATAAACCCGACGCCTTCAACGGGAATGTATGGCGGACCTCCAGCACTTCCAAGTCCACCACCCGCTCCGTCTGGTATACGTCCGACTTCTCAAACCCATCAGCAGCAGTTCAACAGCAAACACTCTGACTTTCGAATGTTTTAATCCAATCCGCGCGAGGTAATGCTCTTCTGAGAGTCCTTCTACGGCACCACTGTAATGACAGTATTCGCATGCGTATCCGAAACCATCGATACGTCGTTGCATTGCGCAATCTGGACCACCCCATATCAACGCGTGCCCCACTCCTGCCAGCTTCCAGATACCCAAGGTTAAGAAAATCGGATGGACCGTTGGTCAGCAAGTAGGGAGGGGGGGAGGCATACCAAACCGACATCATTCGTGCCCGCATTGTAAATATCACTCCCGCTGACGAGCATACCACAGTAACTGCGTAGATCCATCCACAGTTACTCCACGTTTCCGCATTTACATCACACGGTCGCAACACCGTCGTATTTCCGCCGGGACATACCTTCATAGTTTGGCTGAGGACAAGTCCAACCCGATATTGACACTGCTGGAAGGCACGCCAGTTTCACGCCTATTTAGTCTCCAGAGTAGGGCGTGGCCTGCGGCCCGTGCAATTCTGTCTGGAGACGTTACCTTTTCTAGCGAACCCGCTAAAACACGAAGGACCATCACAGCCGCCGGCGCAGGCGAATGCGTAGTCTTAAATAGCCACCAGGTTAACGGGATAAACTGGTTCCATGAAGTTTTGCCCCTCCTTGTCAGCGACAGCGCATACGGGCAGGCAAATCACTTTGCACCGCGCTCATGGCAGTAGCGGCAGTCAAAAAACTTAAGGCGGTACTTATCGCAACAGTACAAAACCCAGCACTGGACGTAATCTGCTCGTAATTTGCGCAGATGGATACACTTGACATTCATCCTGTGCGGTACGTGACCGAAATGTTAGCACGCGACACCATTCGCTCCGTCGCCTACGACCCTCGCCTCAATTATAGAATGGCTACCCGTAGCGCATAGCGATCGCATGGATCCTTCAGCAACCGCGATGTTCTGCGCCTTCGCAGATAAGCGGCGGCGTCTCCGCGAGTTTCTCTTCACCGGCGTGGAATGGAATCTCATGGCTTCGGAACACAAAACACTCCACAAGGTTGGCGATTTGGGGGCAAAACTCCAGTCTCGGACGGGACTTGAACCCGTACTTGTCC